GCATGAGAAGCGGGCGTCTTATACCTCCGGGCCACCACGACGAATTAAGGCTATACGCAAACTTTTTCATATAACTAAAAGATTGTCAATAATATTGGCATCGTCCCGATTCCGTATACTGCCTGTATAGGCCTCTCCAATAGCCCGTCACTGAGCTCGATATATTTTTATATTTTCCTACATATTTTTAGTAAATATAATATACATGGAATTAATAAAATTAATTATTCTAATAGAGTCATTATTTTTCAAGCTGCCACTTAGTACTCTGTTCGTTATTTTAATCTTCTTGTACATCTTACTAGGAGGTATAATGAAATTAGTGACATTGTGTTTCATTACAGTTTTCCTTGGCAACCGTGCGACTGTCCATTGTCAATGTACCGTTTGATGTCACTATTATTTTAGGCGCCTTGTTGTATAAATATTGTAACAAGAAAGTCCATTGACTTCAAAGAGGGTGGGCCAAAAACTTGACTTGTCGTACGTACCTATTCAAGTACTTACTTACGCCGGTGAATCATTTACTCAAGGTGTGGCTTCGATACAAAACTACGACATTTTACCTTGTTTTTCGGAGATATTTGTGACGTCACGGCTAGAAGCTATGAAAAATATTCCTACATCACTTCCGACTTTCAGAAGATACGACTGAAATCGCTAGTAATTTAATGGACATCAACTCGTTAGTTTAAAACGTTGAATTTCATATTAGACTGACAGGTAGGTGAAGTAATGCTGCAATGAGTTACTTATTACACTTTTTTTTTTAAGCGGGGAAAATCATCGAATGACTGCTCCCGCCTGGGTGAGGCGGAAGAGAGTGTCAGACTCTTACTGACTAAAAACCACCCCGTTCTTTCTCCTGCACGTCGAGCCGGAGCCCCGGTTACCCGTTAGGTTCTCCGCGACTACTTATTACACTTGCTGCAGTTTTTATTTAATTAATGTCAGAATAATAATTATCATTTACCTACTTAACATATAAGCCAATATAGCTTCTTGTAACCAACTTTGAGCGGATCTGATAAAGACGCCATGCTCACTCGCACCCTCGCTAGCCAAAGGTCAGCAGTAAGAGGCAGTAAAAAGTCAATGTACTGTTCTCTTAGTTTGTATGCCCCATACTGGCAAAACGAAAGATTTTCCGGAGTCCCGAGTATTGCTGAGAGTAACCGACGTCGAAAGCCGGAAATCGTATTTTCTAACTTGTGACAAGTTTGGCTTGCGGTCCGGACATGAACTGTGACGTCATTTTGATCCCCAAACGGTGTAATATTAGATAACGCTTGCAATATTGTTTAATATCTATCAGCAAACTATTCCAATAGTGAGCTATTAGGTTGGTAGTGAACGGCTGTGTTTAACCGAAGGTATTTCGGTGGGTGATTACAGATTTGGTTATTCATTGATGAAACTTGGACTATTTGGACAGATTCAGGGCAAGTCATTAATGAATATTAATGTACGTTTAAGACATTTCGTTTATTTTTTGATGTTAAAATTACTTTCATAGCTAGATAACAGGCGGCTATGCGTCGCAGGGACCGCGCGTTTCGGAAGCACAAGAGGGATCGGACAGAGGAGAACTGGACGGCATATAAAACTGCGAGGAACAGATGTAATCAGATGGTACGCAACGCCAAACGCCGCCACATTCTCAATAACATTTCCTCTTCATCTCCAGCTGATATTTGGAAGTTCTTGAGAACTCTAGGTATCGGCAAACCGCAACCCGCTAACCTTCCTTCTTCAATTGGCTTAGATGAACTTAATAATCATTTTTCCACTGTCTCATCTCTGGATCACCTAACTAGGCGAAACACCTTGTCTTCTATTTCTAGTCTGCCTCGTCTTGGGGTCGAAAATTTCCACTTCATACCAGTCCAGTCGGAGGAGATTCGTAAGACAATCCTCTCCATTAAATCTAAAGCTGTTGGCTGTGACTCCATCTCCCGTGACATGATCATGTCCATCCTGGTTTATCTCCTTCCAGCAATTACCCATATTGTCAACTATTCCTTGTATTCCGGAGTGTTCCCGTCCTTGTGGCGTAAGGCTTTTGTTCGTCCACTACCTAAGGTTAGTAATCCATCTCTTCCCACTCACTTCCGTCCAATCTCAATCCTTCCCTTCCTGTCTAAGGTGCTTGAAGCTTGTGTCCATAAGCAGCTGTCACGGTTTGTTTATGGAAACAGTTTAATAAGCCCTCTCCAATCAGGTTTTCGACCTGGACACAGCACTGTCTCCTCCCTCCTTAAAGTGACTGGCGATATTAGGGCAGGGATTGAGGACACCAAAGTAACTGTTTTAGTATTAGTCGACTTTTCAAACGCTTTCAATATGGTCAGTCACGATCTCCTTTTGGCCATCCTGTCCCATCTTGCAGTCTCTGACAAAACACTGGACTGGTTCTCTTCCTATCTTCGGGGGCGTCAGCAGTCGATCCGGCTTGACGATAATTCTTCAAGTTGGTGTGATCTGCTGGCTGGTGTCCCTCAAGGCGGCATTCTCTCTCCTCTCTTATTTTCAATCTTTATTAATTTCATTACTTCTGAACTTCGGTGTGCGTATCATCTGTATGCGGACGACTTGCAGTTGTACTGTCAGGCTGCAGTGGATGACTTACCTAGTGCTATCACGGCAGTAAATGGGGATTTGGCTGCTATTTACAACTGGTTACAAAGGTTCGGCATAGAAGTAAATCCAAATAAATGTCAAGCCATAATCATTGGAAGCACACGTACCTGGAAAACAGTCAGTGTCGCGTCGCTGCAGCCTGTCTCGTACAATAATGTGGCAATCCCGTTTAGTGACGATGTGAAGGATCTTGGCTTACATATTGATAACACATTGAGCTGGCGTGCACAGGTCACTAGTGTATGCCAGAAGGTAACTGGGTCGTTGCGAGGCTTGTACCGCCTTAGAAACTTCCTTCCGTCTACTACCAAGGCACGGCTCGTGCAGGCCCTGATTTTTCCTATCATCGATTATGCTGATGTGTGTTACTACGACCTGAATGCAGATCTACTCAACAAAATTGACCGTCTTCTAAATAACTGCATTCGATTCGTTTTCAATTTACGTAAATATGATCATGTTTCTGCACATCGGTTGCAATTAAAATGGCTGCCCATACGCCTGCGCAGGCAACAAAGGGCGTTAACTACTTTATTTTCTTTTCTCGACTCTCCTTCTTCACCTGTTTATCTAGCTTCCTACTTCCAATATACATACGCAAACCATTCTAAATACCTTCGCTCATCTAATAACCGTCAACTTCAATGTCCCACTCACCGCACTGACTATCTTCACTCCTCCTTTTTCGTTCAATCTGTCTCTCTGTGGAACGCGCTGCCCAAGGAAATCAGAATGGCAAATAATCGCTGTTCATTTAAATTCAAGGTTCGGGAACACATTTATAGAAAGTGGCAAACTCAAAACAGTGGTAATATGTAGTCTATGTATTGCATTTATTTATATATGTATGTATTATATTATATGTATGCATATTTAGGATATATTATATTTATTATATAATTCATTTTAAGACCCTATACCCTTAGTTATGTATTATCGACTATAACAATCATGTCTTCCCTCTTTAATATTTTATTACCTTAACTTCGTTATCTACTTCATACTTTCTTTTTACAATTTTGCACCTACCGCTTTAACATTCTGCACCACCCAATGGTCGACTGTCAGAAAATGCCTACGGCATTAAGTCCGCCAATTTCACTATATGTGCAATAAAGTTTTAATAAATAAATAAATAAATAACAAATATTAAACTTATCACTAAACCTCTCCGCAACTTCGGTTGTTAATATTACACAACACGTAACACCACTCATTTTTCCTTAGGCGCCTGTTTTCACCTACCTACCTATGTAAGTTCGCGAGGTGAGTGAGTGATTGTAAAGAGTGAACATAACATTATCATACATAATCTGATATAAAAATATTTCTTGGAAATACTCACAACGTTTAGTAAATGCCATCAAACGTAGGTATAACTTACAATAAATTGAAAATTAAATTCAAAACTGTTCTTTAAAAAGTAAAACAAGACCAATCACGAAGCATTGGAGTGAAACGTGACCAATGCGAAACTGAATGAACGAACAAAACCAGAAAGCGACCGACGCTATGAACGCAATTCATTCATAGTCTGTGAGCATCGTGAAAGCCCGCGCCGACGATCGGCTTAACAGTGCTGTCAATTGCACAGTTGTCAAAGAAACAAAACATAAACCTCAACTTTGCTACAAACGTAACATGGTCCCCAACTCTTGTTAATTTTCCTCCAGACAATCATTATAAGTCTGAATAGTGAGCCTACAATAACTCAATTACTGTCTCGACCCAGGGTGAATGTAGAGGTACAAAAAACTCGTTACGAAATTCAAACGAATATTAAAATAGTCTAGGTAAACTTTGAGGTAAAAGATCACAAACACGGCTGCAACTGTAGAATTTTTAATCTCGATAAAAGGTGCCTACAACGAAATTTTTCAAAACCAAGTGTTGCTTTGAAACTCACCGAGGATACTAGATTTAATTGGAAACGTGAGCTTGTGCAGATTTATTGAGAAAATCTTGTTAAATATTTGATGTTTTTGTGTTACAAAGAAAATACAGAGACATGAACAAAACAAAAACATCAAAGTGACAATCTCATTTTACTTTTATACTTCAAAAGAAGACCACACTTAAGATTAGACCCTCATTGCTCCATTTAAACAAAAAACAATACAAAGTACATTAATTAACACGAACCGGACCGAAATTTAATTACGGCGTGCGTAAGTTATGCTAATTCTTTAGCCGATTATAAGATTAAGTTGAGTGTGAATTACTGTCGTTCCTTATAAGAAAAAGGCGGGCTCGTTATCCCGCCTTGTTGTTCTTCGGGTGATTACATTGCGGGAGAATCCCTCGGCGCGTTTCTCGTACCTTCAACGGGCGGTCGGCGGTTTTGCAATTTAGTTGGAACGGGCTATGAGAAAAATTTGCGGCGAAGGCCGTGAAGCGCTTGCGCGCGGTAGTACGCGGCACGGCGGCCACGGCACGGCAGCCCCGCAGTCAGCGGCGCGGCGCGACGCGATTAGTCTGCGCCGATACGCTTCTCCACGTTTCAAATAATCCCGCGCTCCCGCGCACCCCCCTCACGTCAAACTAACTAATTGATTTATACCCCCAAACATTAGTAAGCGAACTTATACCAACTTTCTGTGCGACGCAATCAACAGTGCTGTTAACTTTTTTTAATCGAACTACTCAAAGTTTATGACTTTTAAGTGTATTTAAGCTTGTAAAAGTTTTATTTTCGTATGTTATTTTTAATGTTGGAGCCGGACGGGCACCAATATGTCATAGTGAAATGACACTGGATGAATGATGGTAAATATAACAGCACTCTTTGTTAATTTTGTATATCATGCCGACTCACGGTGACAAAAACGAGCTAATGGATTCTTCTCTTACAAAATATTCACAAATAAAATGTGAATTTAAAATATCTGCATCATTTATTATCACGTCACCAACACAATTTGTACGAATAAATGAATAACTAATCAGTTATTTCGTCTTTTACATAATAATATAGCGAGTTCAGAGCAAGACTTCGTTACGCCGTGAATTTTAATATAAAATGATGTTACTAATGCTACGGTTGCCGGCAACTTTTTAATTTTGTAACTTAACGACTTTTTTGAATATTTTAACGTTTCGATGTTCGTCTTTTAATTAAAAAGGGTGCAGCAATATTACAAGTTGCTGTGGTAAAATAGTCTTATTGTAAAAAATAGTTTTACAATGTAATAATATATTTACATTAAAAAACTATTAAACTATTTCAACTGTACATTTCGTAGAAAACGTAATATAATTATATATAACCATGCTTTAACAACCACTTACTGAAATGTATAAAAATGCCTCTATTATAATAGTCTTCGCAGAAAATTGGACTTACTAAAGCAACGGAGTAGATTATTATATTTAAAAAAAATCCTTTAAGTTTTTGACAATATCAGTTTTTAAATTGTTATTGTTGTTTACTATTATTACTTGAATTTGAAACAATCGTGTGATGATACTATACGACATTTATGTCACGAACTAGACATGTAGTTGTAGGATGTCTCTTATATCGAGCGTAAAAAAAGTATTCGTGATTACTATACTATATAATCTACTAGCTATTTCCACGCGGTTTCACACGCTCTGCTCGGCTTCTATTGGTCGTAGCGTGATGTTTTATAGTCTATAGCCATTCTCGATAAATGCGCTATCCAACACAAAGATAATTATTCAAATCGGACTTGTAGTTACGGAGTTTAGCGCGTTCAAACAAACAAACAAAAAATAAACTCTTCCGCTTTTTATAATAGTATAAAATAATTAGATATATTTATATATAAATATGTATTTATGTAGCTGCAATTATAATCAATATCAGAATTTTATATAACAGACTTTTATTTTATTGTTTTAAATGATCATCTGTAATCTTATTTTCAATGACCAATAATTAGGTTAAATGCAGATAACACGTTAAGTAACAACGTAAAATCTAGAAATAACATTTTGTAAAAAATAAGCATTCACCTAACAATGGCAAACAATTTAAAGAAACGGCGTACGAAATCTATAATGAAACTAGACAGGCATTTTATGAGACAGACAGGACGACTGTGAACGACAATTCATTAAGTAGTCAAAATATAAGAAAAAACAATAAGACCTCGTTACTTTGTTCTCAGTACAAGTCTAGTGCTAACTAATTGAGCAATCAACGGGCTCATTAAGACACTTCCTATTTCCGGCTTCTCGCCATTCCCAAAGGAATAATGTTTTCTCTCTTATTTATTTTTGTTATTTTATTATTATTTTACATTTCGGTCGTGACTTTTACTCCGGCTATGAGAGTAGGGGCTATGTAGGTCAATGACGTAATTAATGCTTTATGTACTCGCTTCAATGGACTTGATTTAGAGTTATTTGTTTTACGGACAAACGTCTTACTTATTGAAGAGGTTGTTTTAAAATAAATGCGTTATTAAGCAATAGGTAACTTTAACAAAAATATCAAATTTTTTTTTTATATTTAATAGAATCAGGCATGTTTTTATCATAATTTCAGTATATAACATTAATATTATTATACTGCACACACTCTATATTGAAACGTCATAGTGTCCCTTTACTTACCGTAGGATTTGGTGATACTAGATGAAAGAGATGCACAAGAAATTACTTCTGCTGCTAATAAGACTAAAATCAAGACACCCCAACTGAATGGTTTATTGTATGGACATAGATTGCCAAGTTGCAGAAATCCATATTAAAAAAATATGTACTGTACATACATACATACATATAAAATACAGCGAAAGGGTTACAAATAAAGGAAAATTGAAAAGCAGGAGCATTTTTTTGGATTCAGAAGGTCAACGTCCTTCTTAAAGTAATACAATATAAATCACTTTCATATTATTCACGGTCGGTATGTGAAAATATTTAAGGGCAACGGTCATCCTTGAAATATTGTAAGATTGTAGTCATACTTCTACACATACATTCTTCCCCGAAAGGGTAGGCAGAGGTGCACATTACGGCACTTAATACCACTATACAATGTAACACCCACTTTTCACTATTTATGTTATGAGTCCTATTTAGTAGGGATTGAGCCTATTGCCATATACCAGGCAGTCGCACTTGCGACCACTCGGCCAACGAGGCAGTCCAACAACTATACTTCTGTCGACCGCATTTCTTTTTTTGTGTAAGCCGATCCAATAGTGTAGGTTGACTTAAGTCATTCTGTCTCCTGCATTGAATTCGCAGAGAAAACTGGAATCTATCTTTTTTTTTCTTCTCTTTTAATAATATGTTCTGGATTATTTTGTTGCGGGATCCAAGATTCATGTCCTTGGGAGGTCGGCCTTTAGTGTTCTAGTGTTATCATGGTTGTATCTACTGTACTGTATGTTCTGCCGTACTGGGCTTGTCTCAAAAAATGGCCTACATTAAAAAACTTGTACATACAAAGAGATATTTGGGGATTGCTGAGACAAAGCTGTATATTACGTGTCAGTCACGGTGTCTGTTCTATTGTTATAATAAATTGTGTCCAAAAAACGCTATTATATACTGGTAAGACAAAATTTAATTTTCAGATCCAAAAAATATTACTCACCTCTTATCTCCACTTGAAAATCTGATACAAATATGTCAAGCCTTTTTACAGCTTTTGATTAGTAAACCGGCAAGAGTTAGACCAAAATGAAATGCTTTATTCCCAACAAAATCTAAATCTAAAGTCGGTAGATCAACGCACCTGTGACACCTCTGGTGTTACGGGTGTCCATGGACGGCGCTGATCGCTTACCATCAGGTGAATCGTCTACTCGTTTGCCTCCTATTCCAATAAAAAGTTGCAGCATATACTGATACATGATATATCATGTGGAGAAGCAAAATAGTATACCTATGCCTTTATATTATGAAGCTGTAGCTTCAAAACAAAATAAACGTTGCAAAAATGAGAAATATTAAAAGGCGTTTAAAAATTGGAAATGACAACCAAGAAGCTATTTGTCGTTCTCTATTCGTAATTTTCCTATACAGTTCCAGAGAAACTGGCTTCCAGCCAGGACTACAGAATATTCTGGAACATATTTTTAAAATTTGCTCCGCATACTAAAATAGGATTTTTAAACTCGATAACACAGGGCTATAAGTTAAGAGGTATACTTTTATCTTATTCAAATGTATATATTAATAAAAACTACTTGGCATTGTTTGCAATACTTATTTATTTCGTTTGTTGAATGTGATCAAACCGTCATAATTAACCAAGATTGAACAATAGGTATGCGGACACCGGTGTCCTCGCGGTGTTTGACAGTTTAATTGGGTATAAGGGCCTATTATACAGAAAGGAATAATGTGTAGACGACATAGTACATACATACCTCTGTTAGACATTTCCATTCTATTCCAATAACTAAACAACATATATAGCATATCGTCGATGCTCGCCTGTTATTTACGAAACTAATGGCTGTCCACAAAGGTTTCCTTCATTGTGTATCTGCTCAAAGCCACTGGCCATTAAGAATTACTTACTGTATACTATCTATAAATACGTCTGTATCCTTTATTAAACTCCCAATGAATGGCTCTCTCCTAACAATAATATTTCGCCAAATAACAAATGAAAATACGAAATATTTTGTACACATTTACGAATACCCACAGACGAAAGAATTTTCCTATAAACGTTGTACCAAAATTGTATAAAGATTAGCTGAAAATTCAAGATTCCCTCCATTACCGAAATTAAACTTAATAAATATTAGCCGTTTTGGGTGCGACGGTAATTAAATTTAGCGCTTATACCTTCATTTATAAAGTCCATATTTACGTGTTAATTTTGTTTCATTTACATACTTTTGCGTAATTTTTGCCGCTACACCCTCTGGCGATATTTTTAATTGATAAAATTTTTGGTTCAGGAACTCAGTTGACATTATTCAACTTGTTTTAATGACATATAATTTAGCTTTTTAAGATTTTTTTACGTGGTTATAAAAGGATGCCTTTTTTATATATACGGTAATATAATAAAGCGGAATCGTTTGTTTTGTGTACCTATCATACCTACAAAGCTTATGAATAGGTACTGTGTAAAAAGGTTATCGTTACTCGGTTGTCAATTAAATAAAAATGTAAATAAAAAAATTCTATTATTTCAATATTTAAGCTAAGGCAAAAACACAAAACGTGAATTATGTTAGCTACAAACTGAATGCAGATAAGTGTATCTATTTTACAACACTTTCAACAGCTCATAACAGTCTATATTTAGACTATAGGTCAGTTTTACACAGGAGGGTTTGCAAATTAAAATGTTGAGGGTCAAATAAGAGTGCCACTGCCCAGTCTAACAAATGCGTAGACCGGCTGGCTAACACCACCCGCGGTAAGTTGGTTTGGTTTCTTTATGGGATTAGCCGATAATCGAGCATTGCCTATGGACACTCGAAACACCAGAGACGTTACAAGTGCGTTATCGGGCTTTTCGGAAGAGGTCTTTGAGGTTTGTTGGAGATTCGGGAACTGGGGAGGAGGGGTAGGGGTAATTCGGCCTCCGGTAACCGCACTCACACGACAAAACACGTTGATTTTCAATCACTTTCACGCCGATTATTTTGTGAGGCCGTAGTATCCTCTACTCCAGTCGAGCCGGCCCATTCGTGCCGGATGGCTCTTCAACACTTAAACAAATATATTGCATTCTACCGTCGCCACATGGCCATCCATTTAGCGTGTTACTTTTCATACATCAAACCTCCTTTGGGAGAACAGGTGTGATGTAATATTACTAT